CCCAGGCCACGCTCTCGTTGCAGCTTGTTCCAAATCCTTTGGAATTCAAACTTCACAGTCTCCCACTCAATTAGAAAACCATGGAAACATCCCTGGGAAGTGTTCCAGGCCAGGTTGGACAAGGCTTGGACCAACCTGGTGGAAGGTGCCCCTGCCCATGGCAGGGGGTGGGACTGGATAAGCTTTAAGGTTCTTCCAACCCAAAGCAGTCTGGGATTTGATGGTAAAAACATCTATCCTGAGCATCCCAAAGTCTCTGGGAATGGAAATAAATCCTCAGACCACTGGAGCAGGAAGGGCTTCACTAGTTCTGCATTTTACCCCCAGCTCTACCCTGTTCCAGCACTCCTTCCTCTTCTCACCCCGAGGCATTGCCCAGAAGAGGTGAGGAAGTGTCAACTGCTGAATTCTCAGAATCTCAGGCAAGAGGGAACATTTCCAGCACTCAGAAGCCACGTCACAGGGGCCAACATGACCTCAGTAACCCCTTCCTGAAATAAGTGGGGAGGGAGAAGTGGTTCCCAGCTGTCCCCAGCAGCAGGACAGTCCCAGGCAGTGCTGGGAGCAGCTCCCAGTGCCCACACCTCCTTCCCTACAGCCTGGAGAACCCTGTTCCATGAAAGAATCAATCCATCAGGCAGCAGAACCACAGCTGTTTGGCTCAGTCCAGTCTGTGCCAGCCAAAATTCCCTTGGCCAGCCAATGTGTGCCCACCTGGCAGCTCCAGGCTGCAGGAACTGTGAGCAAAGCTTATTCAGTGCCCGGAGGAAAACAAGCAATAGTTCTGCCTATTTCTTTTGGATAATTGATTGTTTTCTTTCTGTCTCAGGCAGGACTGTGATGTGTTTGCAAATGGAAATGTTGTTCCATCACAGGCATGGCATGGAGCTGTGTCAGGGAGGGTTTGGGATGGATATTAGGAGAAGGTTCTAGCCCCAGAGGGTGTTTGGGCACTGGATCAGGGTGAGGTTGGAGAGCAGGAGAAGGTTCTTCCCCCAGAGGTGTTTGGGCACTGGAACAGGTTTAGGTTGGAGAGCAGGACAAGGTTCTTCCCCCAGAGGTGTTTGGGCACTGAACAGCTCCCCAGGGCAGTGGTCACAGCCCCAAGCCTGACAGAGCTCCAGGAGTGTTTGCCCAATGCTCTCAGGGTGCATTGTTGGGGTGTCTGTGCAGGGACAGGAGTTGGATTTGCTCCTTGTGGGTCCCTCCCAGCTTAGGATATGATTCTCTGAAGCCTCCAATTCCCTCCTTTCTCCCAGAGTTACTCCTTCTCTTTGCTATCTCAAGGGGTCTCAAGGATTCTGCTCTGTGCCAGGAATCTTTTCCACCTGTCAAGGCAATTAGGAAGAGGAGCTGCTGGTTCTGCCACTGAGCTCCAGGGGCAAGGACAGCACGTCCAACCGGCTCTGCAACATCCCTGGTGAAACACCCAGTGTCCATCTCCCAGAGGAGAGGCCACCACTGGCTGCAGGTCCCTGAGCACCTCACAGAGCCTTATTTCACCACCCTTTCTCTAAACCCAACAAACATCAGCTCCACTGACTTCACCTCTTGCTTC